CCAGTAACCGAGAACTTTTATGAGATAATATTGAAGAGAGATGATTTTAAATATGGTTGTAAATGGTAGCTTGGACAGCTTTAGGCGCAATGGGAACAAAAGCATTAGCATTTTGGAGCAAAAGCACTTGGGGCTTATGACGCAGTAAATAAAATGAGTGGAGGAAGGGTTTCGAAGACATTAGATGCACAATAAAGGGAAGATTGGAGGCTGGGTTGCAAAGAAGTTAAGATTAAATAAAATAGGGCTCATAAATAAAGCATCCAATTTGGTTGCGACTGAGTCAAAAATGCTTTAGGAAAAGGACGATGAGTTTGCAAAACACGCAAAAGACTTTAATGACCAGATGAAAGTGAAACAATGCATTTAAATAGATTCGATGGAACTAAAGAAAATGTTTCTTCTCCACCAGTAGTTCTTCCCTATGGTCCCTATGGAATGTATGGAAATCCTTACGAAAAGACCATTTGACCATTGACTGGTGGAAGTAACTGGTATCATTACGGAACGAAGAAGAAAGACAGTAAGTTGGAACAGACGTGAAGAAAGCAACTAAAAGAAACCAAGGAAGAGAGTTATAAAGCAATGAATTCAACAGGGTAGAAATGAGGTTAGATATCGGGTTAGATCTAACCTTCTACCCTAAATTTATTTTTGTGCTATGTTTTCATACGTGTGCGGGTGGTGATATCATTAATTTTTTATTTTATTTTTTAAGTTTACTGAAATTTTTTATTTGGATGTAAATGACAGAAACAAAAGCAACTCATTCGAATTCCACAGTATAACAAACATACATTTAAACATTTTTCTTCCTTCCTGAGCATAACATGTTCTTTCAAATACATCTCGAGACCAGTTGACTTTTCATTGACTGTGTATAAAGATAGAAATAGTTATATCATTAAACCATACGATGACGAAGGTAAGTTATGTAAATTTGTTACGTTAAGAAGTTAGAGAAAGTTTATGGCTTCAAGTATGACTACAATAGGGTTAACACTGATGATGAAGATATTGAGGAAAATTTATTGAGACATTAGTGAAGTCGTTAGTGAGAACGATAGTGAGAACGTTTATTTTTTACATTAGTGAGTTCGTTAGTGAAGTGGTTGGCGGCTTTGTAAATATTAGGTATAAATTAGTTTTTGCGTTCATGTTGTAAAATATACGTTTAACGGTTTTTGTAAAGTGTCAAATTCACAAGTATTGGGTAAGGTGGAACGCAGTGCCGCCGTACCCAAGACTCTGTATACTAACTATGAAATTAAAGAAAAGGGTTGACTGGTACCATGAACGGACATCGAAGATTTTAAAAACTAAGCCGATACAGGATGGGTTTCAGGGTTTTAGACCTTAAAGCCGACAAGAACCATACACATACCATTGCAAATATTGCAAACTTACAAGAAACCTTAAACAGGAAAAGTGACGTTGGACATACACATACCATTGCAAATATTGCAAACTTACAAGAAAAGTTAGATTGACAAAGCTGACAAGAACCTACACATACAAGTTTTACAAACTGTTGCTATAGAAAATATTGAAGGAACGGTTGAAGAAACTGGTGGGGATGTATTAGATTGGAAACCTCCTAACTTTCCAGAAGGTTTAACATCGGATAAAAACATAACAACGATGAGATACATTAGATGTAGAGATGTTTATTGTCATGGAGGATGAAAATTAAAGTTAAATTCACTGCTCAAGATTTATATGACAAGAAAGCAGACCAAAAAAGAGCTTCAAACATTAAAGACAGAAATACTTTCAAAACCATTTACCCGGTTGGTTCTATTTATACGTCAATGAACTCTACCAGACCAGAAGTAGTACTTGGTTTTTGGAACTTGGACTCAAATACTCGAAAGTTTTTTGTATTGTGCACACACTCCAAAAGAAAAACAGGTGGAAGTTAAACGATATCTGTCGACAACTTGCCACCACATAGTCATTCTGGTACAACAAACTTTTCTGGGCGACCATAGCCACTCATTAAGAGACCACCCATTATACAACTCAGAGTATGAAGCTGGCTATGACGTTTTATCTCCAGATTATAACCATTCAGCAAAAAAGACTTTTCGACAAACTGAACCAGGAGGAAACCCACAACATACTTTTACAACAACATCTACAGGACTAGGTAAAAAATACATGCCACCTTACATGACAGTTTGTGCAGTATAGAATTGCTTAGTCGTCATTTTCAACTTCTTTAGCATATTCGTCAGGAGTTGTCTTATATTTGTTAGGAACTGTCTTTGAAAGTATACCACCTTGAACCTTACAAGTTTGAAACGAGGTCTGACAATAGTAGTTTTATCTTCTGCTTGCAGTCTGTACATTTTGCCATGTTTGCCTAAAACTTCATAATATTCTCTTGTATACTTTCTTCTATTTTTACGAACACGAATGGAGTACCTGTCGTTCCCATTGTTGTCATAGTCAATAGTATTTTCATATGGGTCGCGTTTAGGTATTTTCTATTTTTACTTTGTCACCTTTCTGAAGTTTGAAGCCTGGCATTCTTTCTTGTTTGTCTCTTTTGACTAAATTATTAAATATATAGTCTTTCTCTAAGTCAGGGTTGTTTTTCATTTCTTCGGGGGAGTGGTTTCCAAACCTTTTGTTTACGGCTATTGTAAATATTTAAAACTTGTCTCATCTTTGCCATGGAGAAATGTCTATATTGTCGTCATATGACATTTCATCTACCTTCGCCGCCTTGTGGTTGGTTTAAGTCTCTTAAATTTTTATACAACTGTCAATGACACCAAGAGCAGAATGGTTTTGGTCGACAATGAAATATTGGTTTACATTTTTTGAACGCAGATAGTTTTTTTACATCATCTGATTTGAAAGAACTTTCACAGTCAGATGTCAGTTTTGTTGGATGGTATTTGTCAACGAATATTGTCAAAGCAGTTTTCACATCTAAAATATTTTTGGACTAATGGTATGGCTTCACAGTATCTTTGTGTTTTGACAACAAATATTAACCAGTATGGGGTCCATCTGTTCTAACTCTCGGAATGTTTTCCAAGATATCCATAAACAAGCATTTGGTGTTGAACTAAAGATTTTTATCATAGTGCTTTCTTTGTTGCCTTAGAAACATAGGGGTCCTTGTTTGGATTCGTCATTTTTTTACCTATAAAAAATGGGTTTATTTGACGCATTAGCAGGGTTGCATCCAGATTTTTGCCCGCAGTGGGAACACTAGCCAGAGGTGATTTGGAATTGGAAGGAAGATTTTGAGTACATTAGGTATACTAAAGAGAAAGCAACAACCTATTATACAAACCGTACAGAAAGGTTGGGAAGTAGCACGAGATGCAGCAAATCTTATTCCAAATCCTGAAACAAGAGGAAAAGTTCAAGGATGGATGGACAATGTAGGAAGACAAGCAGGAAACTACTATAACAAAGCAAAATGACTACTATAACCAAGCAGGACACTAATGGACCAGGTGAAAGATTCTTTAACAGAGGATATAACCATGCACAACATGGGTAAACAAAACCAACCTCAACCGCCTCAAACGTGGGGAATGTAAATTTTTTACTGAGATGAAATGAACAATACAGCATTGAGACAAAATGGGTCAAGATGGATTTGTCGGCTTCCAGCAGTTACACAACACGTGTTTGTCAAGTTCCTCCCTATACCTCAGGAAGTTTTAGACCGACTTAAAAAACAACAAAACAACCAGTTGAAAACAACCAAACTAAAATTTTTTACTGAGATGAAATGACGACGAGAAGTTGAAACGGTAGATTTGACACCACAAACAAAAAGTTCAGAACCATTGTCAAAACTGTCAAAGAACTTACAGATGAAGAGAAAAATTCAATAATAGAAGGTGCAAGGTCTGGAAATAACAAACCCTAACTAAAAGTCACTTTTCATAAAATGGAACGGCCTAGTATCTCAAAAAAGAAACAGACTCTCACAAAATAAAATATTGAAGTCTGAAGGAGCTTTCGAGACAACAGATGGAAAAGTTTACTTCACTGACCAACAGTTCATTATAGAACATCTCATTGACTTAGAGTCAAAATATTCTAAACTTTACAACAAACACAAAAATTGAAAGGAAAACAAAAACAAAATGGCATATGATATTTTATGAAGATAACTACGACACAACATACCTGCAAGTGAAGGTAAAGTCAGAGGAACCAAAAGTGACGAGAAGACCGATAGAAGAAGGAGACCAAAAAACTGAAGATAAACCAAAACCAAAGTTTAGTTTCCAAACTAAACCAAGTCAACCTTCATTAGCTGGTATGGTTGCGTCAAAGGCTTATGGACTAGCAGCGTGTATGTAAAGTAAAGAAAAACAATTTTTTTATTTTTATAAAAATGCCCCCCATATAGAATGGATAGAAAATCTGCTAGAATAAAAGCAGAGTTGCAAAGATATGGTTGGAAAGTTTCGAAAAGTTTAAATATAGGAAGGAAGACCCATAAAAGTCTATGACAAACTGCTGGTCTGCCTACGAAATGGATTTGAAACAGCACGGCCAATTATCCAAACAGACTTGAGAGGTTAGAAGAAGACGTCTTATGAACTGCCCTTTCGATGTTAGTGACCCAGGTTGAAGGACACGACGGCTTTGCCAGATTCTATTGGAAACATGACGAACAATTGCATCCTTTGAGAAGGAAAAAATGTAGTGCAGAGGATGGTCATGCTCCCATGGAAAGAACAAGATATGCATATGAGAAGTACCGTGAAGTTAGAAGTCAAATTACATCTGTCGAACCTTTACAGTAAACTTTGACGAAGGAAAGAACAAAGAAGGCTTCATGGAGTTACTTGCTGCCATTCAAGACGGAAATAAGAAAGGATACAATCTCAGATTGACATAACAGATTTGGATGGTCATATTTACTATGCACATGGCAATGTCACAACAGCTGCAATGCTTCTTGACGCTTTCAAGACTACAAAGAGAGAACAAATGGCTGACTCGACTCAGACATTTATCTAGAATTTAGTAACAGCAGTCAAAGTAGCAAGTTGTACATCATATGTATCTTCAAGAAATCCATCAACAAAGTTTACTTCTAATATATCTCCAGCATTTTCTATTTTACTGCAAAACTCTCCAATGATAAAAGCCATTGCAGCTTTAGCACGGTGATTATCAATCCTGTGTTCAAGAGCTCCACATATAGGAGCAAGTATTCCTAGATATTTGTTTGGATATCTCCTGAAAATATCTGCTGCTACAATTATGCATTCTTGAATTACATAATCTTTCTTGTTCTTGACAAGCTCAACGATTTTATCAACACATGAAGGAGCGGCAACTTCGAATTCTATTGCAATTTGGCCTATTGCTGAAATTGATTTTCTGACAAATTCAATATCTTCTTGCTGTGCATATTCATAGAGTTCTGCAAGGACTTTTCCAACATTTGCTGAGTTGCACATCGCAAGAATTACATCGAGTTTTGCCAGTTTTACATACTCTGGATCATCATATTTGCAAAAGAAAATGGCAACTTCGGAAGAAAAGAGCTTTCTGTAATTCTGAGCCAATATGTATATTGACTTGATAGCCGAATATTGAATTTGAGGAATATTATTCAATAATGAAACTAAAGGAAGTCCAACTCTCATCAATGTCTCATGAACTTTCGATGGATCTGTAATAAAGCTGTTCATCTGCAAGCAGCAGCGAATGGCGGAAAGAACAACGGCAGAATTCAAATGATTTAACCTTGTTGAAACTCTTGATATAATATTATGAGCAACATCAGTGCTTTCTGGTCTGTAATTGGCTACATAATCTAATATCTCAACTTGAGACCATTCTGTAGATTGATCGATTGCTGCAAGTAAATTATTGATTGTACTTTCCGAAGGTTCGAAAACTGGTGAAGAACTTGTTCTATTTATTTCGTTTAGTGCAGAAATTGCATTTGCAGCAACATTTGGATTCATATCTTCGACAAGTCTTTTAAGCTGGATATCAAGTTTATATTTCTGCAAATATGATGGCTTAAACAAATATATAGAAAGTATTGCCAAAGCAGCTGATTTTCTAACGTATGGATCATTAGAATCGCAAGATCTTACAACAAATGGAATTAAAGAGTCAGCTGTAGATGCAGTTATTAATCTTCCTATTTGTCTTGTAATAATAGCTCGTAATTGAGGATTTGCCTCCTCATATTCATGAATTAAATGATTCTTTAAATTTGGTTCTAAATGAGAGAAATCATCAAGATATCTTTCACAGAAAATACCGACAAACCTTCTATCTCTTATTTTATCTTCGTGAGAAAAAGGTATATAGTTCAAAACATTAGAAAAAACGCTTGAACAATCATAATTTCTGGCTTCGTATGAAACTAAATGTCTAAATGCCAACTCTTTGTCTTGTTCATAAGGTAATAGCAATCGTAAACCATAATCTATAATCTCTGTTGCTGATTGTCGAGATTCCATTTAAAACTAGTAATTGAATACTGTAAATTTCAGAAAAAATCAAGAATTATGAGAGAATTTTGATCGTCAATTTTTCCATGAGATTCTGAAGTGCGTTCGATTTTTCTTGAAAGCAAAAACATATAGCTCATAATATGTATTTTCCACTTACTTCATATCAAAAAAATCAAACTTGAATAATGCTAAAACACAAAATTTGTGCATCGAATATGGCGTAGAATTAGGCACAAGTGATATAAACTTTAGAGTGACGATTACGCGATAAGAGTACTCAGAAAAAATAAATAAAATTGTCATTATTCTTCAATTTTGATGTAAATAATATTTTAATTGGATATAGCATGTACATTAAATGATATATAAGAAATAAAAGATGTTTAAAAATATTTCCGTTATCATAGATTTTTTGAGAATATTTTCTATTTTTATACGGAAATATTTTTGGAGAAAATTTAATTTGTCATCTGTTTTATCACATAGTAATTTTTTGGGGACTATCGATAGAAAAACACAAGTATGGCGATACAAAGGTATAAATTATAGAGAAATATCATAGCAAATCGCAATCAAATTTTTGAAGATGTAAATATTGAAAAACAGATAAAATGAACATTCATGAATTGGTAAAGCTGGTACCGGTTCTTTGTTTTTTTATGCACGATAAGATATAATCAATTGAAATAGTCTGAAATTACAGAACTCATTTTCAAAATTTGTATTCAATTTTTGTTGTTTATTATAAGGGTTTCGTTTTGCTAAAATTGTCACTTTTATAGCATATTTGTTTTTGGATGTTTTGCGAAACCAAAAAAAAAAAAAACTATATATCAATGTGTGTGTAAGAAAATACTTTATTTACTAGTTAAAAAATCATTTGGTATTGATCAAGTTATTTTTCTGGATAAGATATTATATGGATAATTGGATAGAAAATACAATTATATAATCTTGTACCTGGTTTAATTAAGTAATTGTCATCAGAAACTTGTAATTTTTATGAATTTCAGATTTTCTTTCATTACTGCTTTTCTTAATAGGTCAAGTTCTTATTTACGTTATAAAGTATGATATTTACAAATATCAAGTTATCGTGTTTTTGAGAAATTATGAGAAACAACAAAAATGAAAAAGATAGGAATAGCAATGAATAGTGATGTGGGTATAGAAAATGTAAGAGATATGAATGCAAAGCAATCAGTTATTTAGGACATTGACATAGATTTCGAAAAAAAAATGCTGCATATTGAGCGAAAACTATGATTAGATTATAAGGCTGTCATTTAAAGCATAATGAAACTATTCCTTTTCATTTTAATCGAATAAGATAGTAAAGATTTTTGAATTAGCTAGAAACTGATGAGATGTTTTCACAAATCAGATTTTTTAATCTCTATAATGCATAATTCACTCAATATCTCAATTTTGATATTGCGAGATATTTTTGCTATCGGTTTCGCAATTTGACACAATAGCAAGAGGGTTCTATAAGCATTATTATCAACGTAGAATCTGAATATCATATCAGAAAATGTCGCAAATCTGACATTTACCCGACAAATAGCAAAAATAATTGAATACTTTTCGCGAAAACTTTAAAAATCGATAAAATATGAAATATAGATATTAAAGAGACTTTTTATATAATATTCATAAGATTTTCCAAAAATATGATACCGCAAAATTAAAAAGTGACGTCTTGAGTGGAGTCAAAGGTCGAAATTGCTAGCTAAATGTTTTTTTAGCGAAATTGCGTATTGTACGTTTTTTTCGCAAAACGAAACCCTTATTTATTATTAATAATATTATGACCTTGTGTTTTATATAAAATCCTTCATTTATTAACGATTTTTAAGGACATAAAAAGAAACAATGCTTATATTAAGAGCTATACAGATTTCACATTATTTTTCATCAGAATTGAGACTCATTGTAATCAATTTGATTTGAAGATGAAAAATGCATTTTTCCTTATTTTTAAATATTTTATTTATTATAGATGAACATAATCTTTTTAGCCATATTTAATCATTTTATATTGATTCTAAAGAGACTATGTTATTCGGTTTGTATATGGTGTAAATCATACCAAAATAGCATATGAATAAGAAAAATGATTGAATTAGCAATACCTCAAAAAAAAAATTGAAAGTTACAAGCTCAATTTTCGTACCTTTTGTACGTTTATTATAATTGTAGCATATTGTCATCAAGCACGCGACTAACCAGCAAAGACGTGTCCTCTAATTCCGTCCCTAGTTCAAGAATCTGGAACTATTTAAGCAAAAACATTCGATTTCAAAATCAAGCATTCTTTATTCAACGAGTAAAACATTAAAGTATGATTTGTCATACACGGAATAATGACAAGCTCTTAGAGTATGTTTAGTACAGAGTTACTGCCAACTTGAGTTCTTGAATTTGGTAAGTTAGAACAAAAGAAGCCATATGTCGCATCTAAGGACTTGTACTTATCAGAGTATTACTAAATGTTTAAGAATGTTAGTTATTCGTCCCAAACTCGTACGTTTCCACGCGAATCTTGATAATAAATATACTATTTTGGACTTTTTGCAATAAATCTCTTTTTACCACATTAGCATATCTGTGTGTATGCTACTTAACCTCTTTAGAGACCATTAAGATAATGTTTTTTGATACTTTTTCAAGACTATGCCATAAAGTAAACGAATAATTTACAAAATGATATTAAAAAATTTAATTTTATTATGCTTTTATAAATATTGAGACTTTTTAGGACTATTTTAAAAATGTAAATAGATCAATCATTTTAATATTAGATAAGATAATCTAAAGACGTCAGATGTTTCAATAACTTCAGATCAATGACTAATATGAAATTTAAGATTTGTGTTAATTTAAGAATTAACAACGGAATCTGGTTTAGAAAGATGGAAAGCATAGAGAATCTAAAGGATAAGAGATATTAAATACAAAATGCTGCATAAAAAGGCAGATCAGTGAGAAGAAATCATGAGGTTAAAAAGGAACATTCAAATTAGAATATAACATTGCATATTACAATATTAATATTAAAGATAATACTGCACATCATTGTGCAGTGATCCATAAATCAATATTAATATCTCATATGATAAAATCTAATATCATATTACAATATTAATATTAAAGATAATACTGCACATCATTGTGCAATTACACTATTTTAAATATTTTCATAAATAATGACTTACAAGTTAAAAAAATGTAGAATTAACTGCATGATCCAATATTGGACCGAATGTATGTTTGAATCTATAACTAAATTCATTAATGACAAAAAAGTGACTCTATAACTGAGTATCTGGCTGACAATATGCCTGAAAGTTTGAATGTGTCTAGGAATATAACTGACAGTTTGAGTGACATTTTGAATGAGGGTTTGGTTGTCAGTATAACTCAAGGTTTGAGAGAGAATATGACTCACAGTTTGACTGACAATATGACTTAGAGTTTGAGTGACAGTATGAACAACAGTTTGGGTGATAGTATGAACTACAGTATGACTGAGAATATGACTGACGGTTTGACAGACACTTTGACTTACGGTTTTAGTTAGAATAAGACTGACAGTTTGAGTGACAATATAACTGACGGTTTGACTGACAATATGACTGTTGATTTGAGTGAGTGTATGATTGAGAGTTTGGGTGACAATATGACTCATAGTTTAAGAGAGTGTATGACTGATGGTTTTAGTGAGAATAAGACTGATAGTTTGACTGACAATATGACTGACGGTTTGACAGACACTATGAATTAGCTTTTTAGTTAGGATAAGACTGATAGTTTGACTGACAATATGACTGTTGATTTGAGTGAGTGTATGACTGACCGTTTTAATGACAATATGACTGACGGTTTGAGTGACAATATGACTTACGGTTTTAGTTAGAATATGACTGATAGTTTGACTGACAATATGACTGTGGTTTGACAGACACTATGACTGTTGATTCGAGTGAGTGTGTGCTTGAGAGTTTGGGGGACAATATGACTCATAGTTTAAGAGAGTGTATGACTGATGGTTTTAGTGAGAATAAGACTGACAGTTTGGGTGACAATATGACTTCGGTTTGACAGACACTATGAATTAGCTTTTTAGTTAGGATAAGACTGATAGTTTGACTGACAATATGACTGACGGTTTGACACACACTATGACTTACGGTTTTAGTTAGAATATGACTGACAGTTTGACTGACAATATGACTGACGGTTTGACACACACTATGAATTAGCTTTTTAGTTAGAATAAGACTGACAGTTTGGGTGACAATATGACTTCGGTTTGACACACACTATGAATTAGCTTTTTAGTTAGAATAAGACTGATAGTTTGAGTGACAATATGACTGACGGTTTGACACACACTATGAATTAGCTTTTTAGTTAGAATAAGACTGATAGTTTGAGTGACAATATGACTGACGGTTTGACACACACTATGAATTAGCTTTTTAGTTAGAATAAGACTGACAGTTTGACTGACAATATGACTGACGGTTTGACTGACAACATGACTGTTGATTTGAATGAGTGTATGATTGACAATTTGGGTGACAATATGACTCATAGTTTAAGAGAGTGTATGACTGATGGTGTTAGTGAGAATAAGACTGATAGTTTGACTGACAATATGACTTACGGTTTTATTTAGAATAAGACTGACAGTTTGGGTGACAATATGACTGTTGATTTGAGTGAGTGTATGACTGACCGTTTTAATGACAATATGACTGACGGTTTGAGTGACAATATGAATTACGGTTTTAGTGAGAATAAGACTGATAGTTTGGATGACAATATGACTGACGGTTTGACAGCCTCTATGACTTACGGTTTTATTTAGAATATAACTGAGAGTTTGGGTGACAATATGACTCATAGTTTAAGAGAGTGTATGACTGATGGTTTTATTTAGAATAAGACTGACAGTTTGGGTGACAATATGACTGTTGATTTGAGTGAGTGTATGACTG